TGTCCCTACCTATTCCCGCCCCGACCTCTTACCGCCCCTCGGCGTAGACTCTGGTTGTTGCCGACGCGCCGAGGCTGCCGCCGCCCGAAGGCTTCGAGCCGCTCCCGGACGGTTCCGCGAAGCTTTCGCCAGCCGCGCAGTGCGGCACGCCGCCGGAGGTGTCCGAGAACCTGCTTGAAAGGTCCGCGAAGCTTCTCCCTCACTCGCAGCGCTTGGCGCCGTCGCCCGCGCCGCTGTCGCCCGCGCCGCTGTCGCCCGCGCCGTCGCCGCCGGCACCGCCCCCCCCGCCCTCGTCGCCGTCCGCTCCGGCGCCGCCTCTGTCAGCGACGCCGCCTGCGCCGCCGCCTCTGTCGACGCCGCCTCTGTCGGCGTCCTCGCCCGCCGCCCTTCCCCCCGGGCTTGCGGCGAGATTGCAATCTCCCTCCGGGCTTGCGGCGAGGGAGAAGGGGGCGGCGGCGGAGGCTGAGGCGGAGGCGGAGGCGGAGGCGGAGGCGGAGGCGGAGGCGGAGGCGGAGGCGGAGGCGGAGGCGGAGGCGGAGGCGGAGGCGGAGGCGGAGGCGGAGGCGGAGGCGGAGGCGGAGGCGGAGGCGGAGGCGGAGGCGGAGGCGGAGGAGAGGAGGAAGAGGAAGAGGAGTGTGAGGAGGAGAGAGAGGAGGAGGAGGAGGCCGTCGGTGGTGGTGGAGGAGGAGGAGGAGGAGGCTGCGCCGGCGGCGAGGGGCTCCTCTCTGAGCGGGGCCGTGCTCGTCTCGCTGCTGCTGCTGCCGCTCCTCGCCGTGGTCGCCAAGCAGGGGCTCGGCCTCGCGCTGGGCGGGGCAGGCTCGAGGGCAGGAGGCCCCTCCTCGCCCACACGCGGCGACGCTCCTCCATATCCCTTCCTATGGGTGTCCGCGTTTTCTTAGGCCTGTTCTGTGCCAGTGCGCGCCAGTCCCTTCCTCTTGGACACCGTGTTGCGTGTCTGACTGTCGCTGTGCTGTCGTGCGATTTCGCAACCCGGGGTTGTGCCTTTGGGTGGTGGCGTATTTTCTTCTCAATAACAAGGTCTGTTCGTGATAGCTGAATACGACATGTACGTCATACGTGGCTGGGTTCACAGCGATTGTAGGAAAATTGGGGGACCAACTCACGGTCGCGGCCTTCCGACTCGCGCCTCCGCCTCACTGGCACTATTGTAGCCCTGGCCGGTGCGCGTGCTCAGTTGAAGTTCCGGAGTAAAAATTCGAACGCGTTCTCTCCCGGTGACCAAAAAATGTCCACCTCAGAGGCACCTCCGGAGGCAGGCCGCCGCACGCCGGCGACACAGCTCCAGCTGTCGAACTGACCCGCAGCTCCTCTCAGAGCGGGAACTGTGACGAAAGTTGACTGAGGCGGTTGTCAGGTATACTCATACGGATCACATGGTGGCTCTTTCATGACGGGAGACCGCCCGACCATTGCCCGCCGAAAAGAAAGCCAATTCTTGACTTGGGCCCTCGGGGAGGCCTGCGGGCGGCCTTCTCTCGAGGTCTCGAGATACACAAAGCGGCCAAGCCCGACCACTCCTGGGTGGCACTGCCACTGGTGTCGCTCGACGTCCTGTCGACAGCGTGCCGACCGCGACACAGACCATGTGGGACGCGTCGAGTATCGACCTCTACTACTTACCCAGCCTTCGAGTGTATCCTGGCTGTGGTCCCACACCCACTGGTGTCCATCTCAGAGACCGCAGGAGGTCATGAGGGTCGATGGGAGTGCCAACCCCACAATGCCTAAAAACCCAGCCCAGTACGTGAACGAACCCGGTTGTACATTTTTTCGGGTGCGGAGACAAGGGTTCAACGACTGGTTATGGTAGAGCTAGCTCAACGCGTGTGTGGAGAAGTTTACCTTACCTTACCTTACCTCGCCGTCTGGGCCTAGCGCAGCGCGAACTCGCCGTCTGAGCCTAGCGCAGCGCGAACTCGCTCTTAGCCTAGCGCAGCGCCTCGGAAAACACCATTTTGGCTCGCCAACAAGCCCTCCGCGCCCCCACACCGTTAGCACAATACTTTTTCTTTCTTCCCAATCCCCGGGCTAGTAGGCCCCTGCCGACGCAAGAGCCCAATCCGCGGGGGTTGCGTGCGCGCGTGCGTTCCAATCCAGGCGTCTTCTTCGCTGTTTATTCACAGCACGCCCCTAGGAAACCTAGAGCCCAGGTTCGCTGGGGTCAAATCGTGAATAAACGTATAAGAGCGGTGGTTCAATCGGTCGCGTGGCCAACAGCACGTCACACCAGAGTACACAAGCAGGACGACACCCCACACACATGCTTCACGCGCTTGTGCTCATCGGCGTTGCGGCCGTGGAGGCGCACCAAACCCGCCCGGCGTTTCGCGCTGGCGTCGCCGCCGGGCATCGTGAGTTGAGCGGGCTGGATCATGCCGCCATGCACAGGTCCAGGCCCACTACTGGACAGAGCCGCCTGGCAGGCGCACTGCGACTTCGCGGAGGCTCGTTTGAGGATGACGCTCGCCTCTCGTGGAACATGCTGCAGGCAGCGGCGCTGGGCTCTCTCATCGGCGTTGAGCGGATTCTGGCCGGTCGACCCGCCGGGATGAGGACGATGAGCCTCGTAGCGATGGGCGCCGCTCTCTTCACTGGCGTGGGGAAGTCGACGTGGGCTGACGGTGGCGCGCGTGCCGCCGCGCAGATCGCCAGCGGCGTCGGCTTCTTGGGAGCGGGCGTAATCCGTGCGCGAGACGACGCAGAGACGCACAGTCGCAGGGGTGGGCCACGCGACTACATTAAGGGGCTGACCACCGCTAGTGCCATCTGGCTCTCGGCAGGGGTGGGTGTGGCGTGCGGCAGTGGGCACGGCCTCGCGGCAGCAGCGGCGACGTTACTCACGATACTGATAATGGCCTCGCACCGCCTGTGCATGGACCTCGAAGAGTACTGTCGCGGCTGACCGAGCTGTGTGTGTGTGTGTGTGTGTGTGTGTGTGTGTGTGTGTGTGTGTGTGTGTGTGTGTGTGTGTGTGTGTGTGTGTGTGTGTGTGTGTGTGTGTGTGTGTGTGTGTGTGTGTGTGTGTGTGTGTGTGTGTGTGTGTGTGTGTGTGTGTGTGTGTGTGTGTGTGTGTGTGTGTGTGTGTGTGTGTGTGTGTGTG